GGAGACCGCAACCCCAATGTGCTTTGCGCCTTACATGAGGCGTGGCCAGCGCGCCTGCGCCGTCTGGATCAGCCGGTTACTCGCGTCAGCATTAGTCCTGTTCTGACGCTGCCGGGTACCGGCCAGGGTCCACAAGGATGTGGGTGTTTGGCTATGGGTCCCTCATCTGGAAGGTGGACTTCCCCTACCAGGACAAGCTGGTTGGTTATATCACAAACTATAGCCGGCGCTTCTGGCAAGGCAGCACTGACCACCGTGGGGTTCCCGGCAAGGTAAGGAGCCAGCGCCGCATGCCCAGCAGAGCATTAGGAAGGGATAACGCTCTCAGCAACCTCCTGGGCCACATCTCCTCTCCTCTCTCCAGAACATGGACACCCTGAGATCGCTTCAGAACCCCGCGGCTAGTTTCTTAGGCAGAAGGCACGGGCATACTCACACAAGCTCGCACAAGGCTGAAGTGGCTGGGCAGCGCCCTTGTCTTGGCAACCTGTCTCACAAAAATTAAAGATTAATGTTATTGTCGCCACATGATAAATGTGTAAATTCGTTGATATGTCTGCATTATGCCAGGTTTTTACTGTTTTGAATTTACGTGTGCCTGTAAGTTTCTAGGGCTTATCTTTCCAATGTTTTAAAGACACTTTAAACTTTAAGATCATGAAAGAACTAATTTCCAAGGTTATTTCTGATTTTTATGCCCACGGTGATTATCTTGACTGGGAGGTATAAGCAAAGTTATGTGAGTTTTACAGTTTGTTATGAGTAATACAATGCAAAATCTACAGTATTTTAGTGGTTCCTTCTCCATAATTCTCTTGGATTATTAATGTGAAATACAAATCGTTCGATCTATTTTTCAGTTGGTTATTTATACAAGGCATTCATCTCATATGGGTTCAGAGAATTAGAAGCAGCTCACTGCTTATCAAACCAACTTTGCATTGGCTGTAAAACAACTAATCTGTGAAACAAAAAAATAAAAAATAAAACAAGTATGAAGTAACTAGTAACTTGTTTGATTAACTTCTAACCTTTGGAGGACTACATTTTGAACACTTCAGTGTTCTCTAAAATTCTCTTAAAATTCATCTACCATGCTGGTATGAGTGTGTAATCCCAAAAAGGATCATAAGTTTAAGACCTGCCTGTACCTCAGACTCAGAAATTAAAAAGGGACTGGGCTATAGCTTAATGGTAGAGCCCTTGCCCAGCCACTGAGTTCAATTCCCATGACCATTTAAACTACTCTAAGGCTGGGAGTTGGTGGCACATGCCTTTAATTCCAGCACTCAGGAGGCAGAGGCAGGTGGATCTGAGTTCAAGGCCAGTCTGGTCTCCAGAGCGACTGCCAGGATAGGCTCCAAAGCTGCACAGAGAAACCCTGTCTCGAGAGAAAGAAAAAAACAAAAACAAAAACAAAAAAAAACTACTCTAAATCACAATAATTCTGAAATGCGGACAGCCAGTTTTCAGAAGAGATTCTTGGAAGGGGAAAAATCAAGGTTCTCAAATAGTTTGGGCTATCCAAATAACCTGGGCTTTAAATCATAAAAAGCACCTGAGTCAGATCATCCTAATTCAGTTTGTCAATTAAGAATTAAGGTAGACTTTCCTGGCCTACTGGAAACGGGACAGAAGACAAATGTTTGTTTACAGGCCAACAGAAACATCATAACCAAAGAATTTCCAAGACTGTTACAAAACAATGTTCAAGACATTAAGGAATTAAACCAAAGGAAATGCCTTTGGGGTATCAATTTTGATTATATATATATCTTTAGGTAGGTTTTCATTTTAATGATCAAGCATTAAGCAGGCATGTTATGTGGTTATGACTGAATATTTTACTACCTAGGTTTAACCAAAATATATGCTTACAAAACACAAGGTGTGTGTATTGCTAGGCAGACTGCTGATAACAAACTGTCTAACTAATACATTAGTTCTTTAAAAGTCCATGTTTTTATGCTCTATGTATCACTTTAAAAAGTAAGGCTAGAAGTCAGGCGTGATGGTGCATGCCTTTAATTCCAGCACTTGGGAGACAGAGGCAGTCAGAGCTACATAGTAAGACCCTGTCTTGGGGGTTGTCCATCTGTCTTTAAAGGGAGAAGGTAACATTTTTAGTAAATAAGGCCAGTGATTAAGTAAAGGACAGAACTGACCTCCACATACAAGCTATGGCAGGTGCACACACACAAAGTAAATAAATGTAAAAAAAAAAAAATAGAAACAGGAGAAGAGACCTATAAAAGCCACCGTTTCTTTGTGTTTAAACTTACTGAGACTTAGGAAAGGAAACCTAGGGCAGTGAGCTGCCCTGGCTAACAGTTTTATACTTTTCATTAAAAGAAAAAATCTATCCAGAAAATTAAAGGAAATATTTAGTACAGTATTGTATTAAAGAACTAGACAAAACATCATAACTTGACTTTATACATTTACCTAAATGTTAACCACCTGGACAAGAATACCAACAGTGACAGGACTATTCAGAAGCTACTCAGGACATAAGCAATGTCTTACAGCAGTCCATACCAGTCAGGTAGTTCTAAGAAGGTGGATACACAGATGTAAGGTTTACTTCCACATAATGCAGCAGAGAAAATAGTAACTATGTTGGATTTCTTCCCAAGTTTTTGTTTGTTTTTAGAGACAGTCTTACTACGTATTCCTGGTTAGCCTGGAAATCACTATATAGATCAAGCTGACCTCAAACTCAAAAGAGATTCAACTTCTCTGCCACTCAGAATGCTGGGATTAAAGGCCTGTGCCACCACCATACATGGTTCCTAAATTTACTAAGTATATATTTATTACAAAACTGATTGTTTTTCAACAAAGTAAAGATTTGACTTAAAGAAATTTTCTCTGAAATACAACTGTAAAACTGGAAGCTTGATTTATTGTTTTGTTTGATACAGGCTGTCGACCATATTCCTGAGACTCCTGCCTCCACTTCCCAAATCCTCTGAGTACAAGTGTATACCACCACACCTGGCAAAGGAATCATTTTAAGAATATTGTGAACATTTGCTAAATCCTTAACTCTTCTAGATTAAAAGCATTCCTTATCACCCAATAAAAACATCAATTGTGACTTATTAATAAAACATCTTCATAGTTAGCTTGAAAGAACTCTTCTTAGTTACATATGGTGACGAACAGTTGTAATCACTAAACTGAGGAGGCTGAGGCAAGAGGATTGCCATTTTGGGGCTAGCCTGAGTGACACAGCAAGATCCTGTCTTGTCTCAAAAATGAAGACAGGAAAGGTAGGGGCAATTTGTAGCTCAGTTAATGCTAATCCCTAGTGCCACATAAACTGGGGTGTGGGAGAACCTCACTCCCATATTCAAGAGATAGAAGCAGATAGAAAGATCTGAAGTTATTTCTAGGTTATCCTCAGCTACACAGTAAATACCAGGCTAGGCTGGGCTACACAAGACCCTGTCTTAAATAAAGTAAGAAAACACCCCTTTCGGGAAACCCACAGAGAGAGCTGACCCAAGCTTATGGGAGTTCACTGACTCTGAACTGACAGCTGGGGAACCTGCATAGGACTAAACTAGGCCCTCTTGAAAGTGGGTGACAGTTCTGTGGCATGGGCAGTCTATGGGGCCACTGGCAGTGGGACTTGGATTTATCACTAGTGCATGAACTGGCTTTTTGGAGCCCATTCCCTAGGAAAGGATACCTTGTTCAGCCTCAATACAGGTCGGAGGGGCTTCGTCCTGCCTCAACTTGACATGCCAGACTTTGTTGAGTCCCCATGGAAGGCCTTCCCTTTCTGAGGAGTGGATGGGGGATTGGGTGGGGGGAAGGTAGGGAGGAGTGAGAGGAGGTAAAGGAAGAAAGGGGAACTGTGGTTGTTACGTAAAATGAAAAAACTTTTTAAATAAAAAAGGAAAGACCCCTTTCTTCAGTTTTATTGCTCCCTTATCAAAGAAAGCATTTAAAAACATACACCATTTTTCAAAAGATGTGACTGTCTGTAGAGTTGTAAATAAGAGTTCTAAGTAAGTCAGTACAACTTGAGGGGAAAGGGGAGAGGTGGGGCTTGTAGTTTAGCAAAGCACTTTTGGTTTTATTGTGTAGAATATCAGAGCCTTGAAAGATTTAAAGCCACAAAGCTATTCTTGGCTCTCGGTGAAATAGGAGGAAGCATAATCAGAGGCAGGCAGAGAAATCTCTAAGGAGACAACTAAATGATAGAAAAGAATCAAACTGTGGTGAAGAGATGGCTCTGAGGTTAAGAGCTCATAGTGTTCTTGCAGAGAACCCAAGCCCTGTTCCTAGCACCTACAATGGGTAGCATACAACTGTCTGTATGTCACTCCAGCTCCTAGAGGGATCTGATGCCTTCTGGCCTCACAGGCATACCCCCAAACACAGAAAGAGACATATAGTTTTTTAAAATGTTTACTTATTTATACTAGGGAGTAGTGTACATACACATAATATAAAAAGACAAAACTATCGAGAACTGGATGAGTTGAACAGAAGGAGAGTTCTTCTGGAATGCAGAACTTGTCACCCTGACTAGAGGCATTTCTCATTCTGCATTCCATTTCTTCCTCCTTCCATTGTAATTATTGTACATTTTACCAATCTGATGTTCCCAAAATATTCCTTCCATTATGTCAAACATCTGCTATCCAAGTGCTACAGGGTTCAGTTCCTAATTTCTCCCACATTTCAGTGGCTTCTTGTTCCCACTGTTCTACTAACTTCAAACATTCCTTTTTTTTTTTTTTAAAGCCCAAGGCCCAAGATAGGCAAGTACCTACTTCTGCTACCAACACTATGAGCTTCCCATTCCCTAAACTCTGCTCTCTGGCTTTACAAATCTTACTCTATGCTATCTCCAGTCAACTTTCTGAATCATCTTTCTTACATAGGATGCCACAAGCCAGCAGTCTGGGAAAACAGATCACCAGGAATTCAAGGCAAGCCTGGCTACATAATGAATTCTAGGCCAGGCTGGGCTACAGACTGAAAACTATCTCAAAAGAATAACTGATTAATTAAAGTTTAGTTAGTTAAAATGCACTTAGGATGGTACAGTCCTGCCAGACTGTCTGGCTCATTTAAGAACAGTTAAAAGAAAATAGACCAATTCTAAGCCAGGCATGTTGGTGCATATCATTAACCCTAGCACTTCACAGGAAGAAGCAGCAGAATCAGGAGCTCAAACTAAGCCTTAGCTACATAGAAGGCTACTCTGGCCACTCTAAGCAAAAATAAATATGTAAATAAAAATAATGTCAATTCTAATATTAGCCTCTCAATGAGTCAGTGTGACATTCATCTATAAAAGTATAAAAACAGCTACCTTGAAGCACCCTTTAGCATAAATTCAAAGGTAAATGTACCTCACAGCTACAAGTGAAAACTCACTTATTCACTCATACCTGAGACCCAAGTATAGCCTAGTAGTGGTTCTGAAAGCATGAACCAATAGTTTCACTAAGCATGCTAACACAAATAACTATTTTGAGGCTCCAGATCTACAGAATCAGATTTAGTTGGGGTGTAGCCCAGCAATATTTTAATTCATCCCCTAAGTAAAGTGCTTCTTACAACAAAGTAAAATTTTATTCTATGACAACTTGTTAATGTTTAGTTATTTAATGAAATTTAATTGAGAAAAAAATATTTTCTACCTTTTTCAAAACAGCCTGGAAGAGTTGTGACCCTTGTTGAAGATCCTGGGGTATGGTATACTTTTTTTTTTTTTTTAAACATAATCTTAAGTTAAATGGTAGCTTTCTGTGTTTGAATAATCAGTGAAATTTTATTGGTCATCACAGAAAAATTTGAATTAAACTAACTCTAGAACTCTTTTCTGTATTTGCTTTTTATTTTTTTGTTTGGTTTTGGGAGGGTTGTTTATTTTGGTTTTCTTTTTGTTTATTTATTTGGGTTTTTTGTTTGTTTGTTTTAGTGCTTATAGAAAATGAGTCTGGAGGGAAAGTTACAATCAGAACACACAATAACAACAAAATACAACCCAGTGATATATAATCTCCTTTTTACAACTTTTTAAAGTGAGTTTGGTGACTGAGAATTTTGTGATCCTCTTTCATATTAATGGGGACAGGCTCCCCACAGCCACATTATGACTAAGAATTAATTAGAATCCTTATAGCTCTCTTGAAATTTGCCAGGAATCTAGTATTTTCAATTTCTTTAAACATTAAACTTGGAAAGAAATTTGTACAAAACAAAACTCAAGCAGGAATGCCACCTGCCTATAACCAGGCAAGGCAGAAGGATCACAAGTTCAAGGCCAGCCTTGTACAAAAAGCTAGTCCTTATCTGAAAATAATTAAAATAAAAACCATTTGTAGCATTGATTATAGTCTGGATTACAAAATGCTTCCAGAGGTTTATAATGGGAGAGGCATCTGAAAGTACCTTATCCCAAACCAGTAATTGTAACTCCTAGACAACAAATGGCACTTTCCTTCCACACAATTTCTTGATGACCAGCAAACACTTGATATGAGTTTAAAACTAAGACCTAATATAAAAATTTGATACAAATCAATTCCTTATTCAGAATAAAGGTTTTAATTGATGTTTTCCTTAATTGTTTATTGTCTATCCTTTTTAGGCACTTGGAAACAAAACTGAATTGACTTCTAAGACTATAAAATATACTAAGTCATAATATATCCTCACCTACTTTGATAGCATTTTAAAACAAAACAGTGCATTCTTTTCATTTTTTAACAGGGCAGTGTTTGGGGTGTTGCTTACAAACTACCAGTAGGAAAAGAAGAGGAAGTAAAAACATACCTTGACTTCAGAGAGAAAGGAGGCTACAGAACTACAACAGTCATTTTTTATCCAAAAGATACCACAAAAAAACCATTTAGTGTTTTGCTCTACATTGGAACATGTGACAATCCTAACTATCTTGGTCCTGCACCTCTGGAAGACATAGCTGAACAAATTTTTAATGCAGCTGGTCCAAGTGGAAGAAACACAGAATATCTTTTTGAACTTGCAGATTCTATTAGGAAACTTGTGCCAGAAGATGCAGACGAACATCTCTTCTCTTTGGAAAAATTAGTAAAGGAACGTTTAGAAGGAAAATAGAACCTTAGTAGCACACAGTCACCATCTCCTCCAAACAAGTGAAGGGACATTCTTACTTGAAGATCTTAGTATTTAATGTTGTAATTGGAATATCATCTAAATTTACTGTTTATTACAAGTGTCTTAAAACATATTCAGAAGATTTGCATACAGAGAAAGAAAATTGAAGCTATACAAGTGATTTCCTAACTAAATGACATATGAACATTTGTTCATTAGAAATACAGGTTTCAATTCACTTCCTGTTTTTATTGGAGGAACCATGTTTTTTTATAGTATATATGCTTAAAATAATGTTATTAGAAATATATGGTAATAGACACCTGATTGTTAATTTCCTTGTAATTTTAGATTAAATGAAAGTCAAATTTAGGCCAAAAGAAATTGGGTTTGTTAATATAATATTTTCCTTGGATTATAATGTGCTATCTTCTCCTTTGGGGGAAAAAGGCATTTTATTAGAAAGAAAAACTCTAGTATAAATCACATCCACTAATGATAATGTCATTTACTTTGTATTTATCTCATAATGAAACTGGAAAAAAAGGTTTTCTGGTAATTACCAGTTGGTGGAAGCATAATGAAAATGGTGTTTGATTTTACAATTGTAATTTCTCAAAGAAGTGTCATTTCCTGATTATATTATGTATGCTTTTTCTTTCTTACATTTTGTCACGTAAATAACTATGTGGCTACTTAATAAGGAAGCTAATTCTTAAATTATTGACTTATAAAATTGATTTAAGACAATTGGGTGACTTCTTTAATATAAGTCTCTCCAGAATCAACACTGAAAGACTTTCAGTGTCATGTGAAGGCTCATATAAGGTTTAAGAACTCATCAGATATCCAGTGTGGTGGCTTACACCTATTATCCCAGCACTTGGGAGGTTAAAGAAGGAAGACTACCCTGAGTTCAAGGCAAGCTCAGATTTCAGAGTCAGACCCTGTCTCAAAAGAATAAGCCATCTGAGCCATATTCCTGGAATCCAGTTGTTGAGAGGGAGGGGGGATGAGCAAAGGAGTCAAGACCATGCTGGATAAACCTACAGAAACAGCTGACCTGACCTAGTGAGAGCACATGGACCCCAGTCGTAAAGCGGGGGAACCAGCATTGGACTAAACCAAACCCTCTGAATGTGGGTGCCAGTTAGGAGGCCTGGGCAGTCAATGGGACCTCTATCAGTGGAGCGAGTATTTATCCCTAGTGCACAAAGACTTTTAGGAGCCCATTCCCTATGGAGGGATACTATTTCAGCCCAGATACAAAGAGGAGGGCCTAGGCCCTCCCCCAAAAGATGTGACAGACTTTGATAATCCCCCATGGAAGGCCTCACTATCCTTGGGGAGTTGGTGGGGGTGGGTTGGCAGGATCGGTGGGGGACATGGGAGGTTGAGGGAATGGGGAATTGATATGTAAAATAAGACTGTTTCTTAATAATAATAGAATAAGCCAGACACAATGGCTCACACCTGTAACCAATAACCTAATACTCTGGATGCTTAAATAGGAGGATCCACAAGAGTTCAGGGCCAGCCTGGGCTACAGAGTGAGACCTTATCTCAAAAACAGCAAACAAAACTTCTCAACTAATATTTGACATGAAAAAATACAGTAGAAAGCTGTTACCCCTTATCAATTTACTCAGATATTTAACTAGTTTAAGTATTTTTCTAATATTTAAAATGTTTAGTTTTCCAGGCAGCATTTCATGTATCAGGTATTACTAGCATTTATTAATATCTAATAACATGATATGCAGTTTACATAGGGAAACATCCTCAGTTTTTAAGAACTGCTCTAGGACTGTTTCTATAATCATTTGCACTCATTTACAAATTTAACATGCAGAAATCTAGGTCTCTCTAAACCACAAAATACTACAGTGTATTTAAAAATACAGAATCAAGTTTTTTCACTACCCAGAATATTTTCCCCTGAAAATAAAGAGATTAGCATATTTATATAAATATGCAAAGTTAATTTTGACAGCTCTGTATCTGTTCCCACCAATATAATGACAAGATTGACAAGCTTCAGCCCAAAATCATTACACTTAGAAAAGAAACTATTCTGTCAGGCTTAGTTTGGTTTTGCTTTTGAGACATGGTCTTCAATACTGTCTCAGCCTTTGGTCTGTTGGGATTATAGACATATGCCACCTTGTCTGGACTAAAGACTTAGGAGTGGGGGGCGGAGGGAGATGTGTGTGTAACAGAGAGTGATCGGTGTATGTGGGGATAATATGCTTGCCATAGCATTCACTGGCCAGAGAACAACTCCATGAAGTTGTTTTTCTTCTTTCACACTTACATGGGAAAGGAAACTCATGGGCTTTCACAGTTGGCACTTTTACTCCTTTAGCCACCGAGATGGCCTTTGAGTGGATTTCTACTCATTCGTTTTTTGATTGTTTTGTCTATTTGGCTGGTTGGTTTTTTGTTTGTTGGTTTTTTGTATTTTATTTTCTTTAGATGTTTATGAGGCAGCACCTTATGGTGTCCTGGAACTCACTCTGTAGACCAGGCTGGCCTGAAAGTCACAGAAACCCACCTGACTCTGCCTCCCAAGTGCTGGGATTAAAGGCATGCATTACCAGGCCTGGCCTAGGTATTTCAACTCTTATTCTAGGCCACTACTGTTGCTTTTTTGGGGTCTCAAACAATACATTCACTTGTCAACTGACTACCATCTAGACATGACTTCCATATTGAAAAGATTATTTAAAGAAAGGCAGTGATGATTTTCAATCCCCTTTGATCAACTGATCTATTTTGTTAAAACTTCTTTCAAAGTTTGACAGCTGCCAACATGCATTTTTATCTTGAAAAAGGAAAAATAAGCAATTTCTTAATAAAGTACCTGACATGCATATTATATATCTTCATAGTGTCTAATGAATTTTAATGTTTATTACAGTGTGTTATAGGATGCTTAATGAATATTACCTATTCTTTTTTTTTCTTTTTTTTGTTTTTTTGAGACAGGGTTTCTCTGTGGCTTTGGAGGCTGTCCTGGAACTCGCTCTTGTAGACCAGGCTGGTCTCAAACTCACAGAGATCCACCTGCCTCTGCCTCCAAGTACTGGGATTAAAGGCGTGCGCCACCACCGTCCAGCTTACCTATTCTTAATAAATATTACAACTGTACTTTATAACACATATTCCAAGCAACATAGGTTTGATATATAAGATTCATGATTACAAACATACTTATAGTTTGAGAACCATTTTTGATCTGTCAGATATTTTTTCAGCCTTTTCACAGTCAATTATTTCTTTCCATTGGCATTAAATTTCTCTTTTGGCCAGGCGTTGGTGTTGCACGCCTTTAGCTCCAGCACTCAGGAGGCAGAGGCAGGTGGATCTCTGAGAGTTCGAGGCCAGCCTGGTCTCCAGAGCGAGTTCCAGGATAGGCTCTAAAGCTACACAGAGAAACCCTGTCTCGAAAAAGCAAAAAGAAAAAAAAATTCTCTTTTGTGTGGTATATCTTTTTAAAATTGTATCTTAGGAGAATACTTTCTCAGTGAGCAAGTGACATCCCTACCCACTTAGCAGCTGTATCACTGTAAGCATCATATTGCTATAATGTACCATTAATTCTTCCAAGTCAGCTATGATGAACATGTTTTTAAATTCCCCTTCACCACAGCTGATGGAAATGGTGGTGCATGAAAGGCTTAGGCAAGAACATCATGAGTTCAAGCTCATCCTGGGCAACACAGTGAAACCCTGACAAAAAAAGGGGGGGAGGGATATTAAAATATACCTATCAATCAAATGTTCACATTCTACTTCTACATTCTACTTCTCTTTCCCACAAAATTACTCACTATGTTTTCTACTGATCTGTCCTTTAGCAATTAATTTTTCATGCAGTCCTAAAACTTTGAACCCACCTGTGATTTATCCCCAAAGAATGTCCCCAAAGACTCATGTTTGAATACTTGGTCTCCAGTTGGCAGCTGTTTGGAAGCACTAGCAGGTGTGCCCTTGCTCGAAGTATCTCTGGGGGCAGGCTTTAAGGATTCAAAAAACTCATGCCATTTTGAGTTAGCTCTCTTTACCTCCTGTGTGTGGATCAAGATGTGAGCTCTCAGGTGTTCTTTTTCCATGCCTTTGCACCACCATCACAGACTCTAATCCTCTGAAATTGTAAGCCCAATTAAACGCTTTATTTTATAGCTTGCCTTGGTCATGCTTCTGTCCTGGTGCAATAGAACAGTAAGTAATACACCAGTCTACGCACACATGAAGATTTTTTTTAATCTTGTAGCTAATATGTCAAACACTTTAAATCTTCTAAAAGTAACTACTAAAATTATTCTTTTGTATATCAAATTTATAAATAAAAATTGTCTAACTCAAAATTTAGTAATTTTGTCAGAAGATTCACTTTCACCTTTCTAAAACATTACACTAAGCATCACTTTGTTTTTTTTTATTTATATTGTACTTCTTCTTATAAATGGTTTTCCTACACACTCTAACTGAAAAATCTGCCACTTAATCCTACAGTTTCTTATTAAAACTTTCTTCTCCTTCACAAAAGTGTCTTAAAATCACAATGATGTCCCACTTCTTTAACAACTCACCTTAATCTCCAAACCAACTTTGCTGTAATGCTCCAATTATTTAAGTCTCAAATCTCCAATGACCACTATCTGACTCAACTCAAAGATTTAATTCCTTCGCCCACCAGGAAGCACCAGACATTAGTGGCCAAGTATAAGTAGTAGTACATTGAGATGTACTTAGTACCAGCACCTTGGGTTCCTTCAGAAGTAAACTGATCCCAAATATGCATATGCATTAATTAAATAAAATTAACCGTGGGTCGTGAGTGAGTAACTGGTTGAAGAAAGTAGTCATAGAGAATCAGAGGGCTCCTAGGAGAGATAAAGAGGCACACTGGAAGTAGAGAGGGATTTTGAGTGGCACAGCTTTTTACTGGTTTGGTGGAGTGCAAGCTGGGTCTTTCAGAGATACCAGCAAGGAGAAAAGATTAGCTAGTTGCTACTAAAGCTCTCTGAACTAGCAAGATTTTCACCCCAGCCTTTGAATCTCAAGTCTTACTTGTAAATAAAAGGATTAAAGATTTAGTTAAAACTACCATTAAGTGGCAGCAACAAAGCCAGTACCTGCAGAAACAGAATTCATGCCATGCTGCATCCCGAGCAGCTGGGCCACTGCCAGAGAAGCAGGCCTATATCTAAAGAGTCTCAATTGCTGGCTGAAATAGCAGATTAAGGCACAGACACTGTGCTGAAGATAAAACAATAGAAGCCCAAAAGGCACAGTTAAATAAAACATTCTTTAAAAAAAAAAAAAGATTTATTTATTTACTATGTGTATAGTGTTCGGCATCAAATCTCCATTACAGATGGTTGTGAGCCACCATGTGGTTGCTGGGAATTGAACTCAGGACCTTTGGAAGACCAGGCAGTGCTCTTAACCCTGGAGCCATCTCTCCAGCCCCTAAATAAAACATTCTTAATTTTATTTTTATTAATAAAATAAAAATATGGTTATATGTAATAGGTACACAGTAATATCAAGATTTATGAATAAATGGAATCAACAAATTAATGTATTTATCACCTCTATAGAAAATCTGAAATTTACTCTTAGCCGACTGAGAATTCATGTATATGATCCCAGCACTCAGGAGGTTAAACTGGAGGATTGAGAGTTCAAGGCTAGAATGCACCACAAATTAAGACCCTGCCTCAAAAAAAAAAAAAAAAAAA